TGTTTTTTCTGCACTACAGAAGGAAAGTATATATGTTATCTTCATGATGTAACCTTAGATTTTTTTTTCTAAAATACTATTAAACTTTCTTTGTATTATGTCCCTTGATAAGTTGCTATTTGTTTTTTGTTTTTTTGTTTTTTAAGTTAAAATGCTGAATGATGTTTCTTATACATTTTGAATGATCTAATTATTTCGTGTACGTGCCGCACTTTTTTTTAAACTTAATTAGCTTTTTTTTTACATAAAAAAAAATTATTATGTGAAAAATATAAATATTGACAATTAGAGCAGCAAGTTTAGGTTGTACTAAAGAGACCAACTCGAGGTCCGTTACTGTTGGTCAGGCCCGGTCTTAAAAAGTTTTGGGCTTAGAGCCGGGCTTGGCCGATCCTCTCTCCTTTAAGATCAGGGCAGCTTGAACATTATATTTTTAAAGATCTTTTTTTTTTAAAGTACCTTATAAACTTTTTGGGCTTAGGATCAGGTTGGGCTGGACCCCTTCCCTTTTAGGGCAAAGCTGGCTGGCTTGAAATTTCCCTTTAAGCCGTTGGATCCAGACTTAGCCTAATTAGGCGGCTAAACTTACACCTCTGTTAACAATCAAATTAGATATTATACCATGTTGTGCGGATACATGACTGGAAGCATACTTTCTTTCTGTATGATTTAATAGCAAAAGATGCACTACACGAAGAAAATTGAATAGTTGTATTTTAAAAATAAAAATACTTATTTAAAATTAATTGATTAAAATAAAGGAATTAAGTAGAATATTTATTATGGTTTTGACTCAACAATTAATGCAAATTCTATTAGGAAAGAAAAAATTAAGTATAAAAAACTGTCATAAATAAAGTATCCAAATGATATATTTTTATTAAACGAGTGTACTACATAAACAAAATGACGTGTTACACCCAATTCACTGAATAATTTTTCATCCATGAGTGGCTTTTACATCATCATCATCATTATCGTCGTCGTCATTGTTGTTGTTATTATTGTTATTATTATTGAAGGGAGTCGCTTCTACATTTTGTGGATGCATATCTGATGGTTGGAGAATTACAAATGGGTCAATAAAATAATTTTTAAGTGATACACTTAATCATACTCCTTATTTTAATTAAACATAAATTATTTTAATATTTATTTAGTTTTAAAATATATATAACTCTATTGAATTTAGAGTGAACCTTTACATTTATTATGGTTTGAAAGAATAAAATAATATAAAAAATTAAATAGCTAGCTCCTTCTTGTTAACTATATGTAATTTTCTTCAAAATAACTAACCATTTAGCTAATGGTTAGAGTGGAGAAAAGCTAAATTCTATCTACTAAAAATATGAAATAGCTAGTATGGTTAGAATTTCTACCAAACCGCAATGTGATAGCCATTCTCTCTTCTCTCTCACTTTTATTTTTTCCCCTGTTATTTTATCTTGCTTTTTTAAAAAAAAATTTAGTTTAATTTTTTGCGTGTGTTTTATTTTAAATATATTTTTCCTCACTTTAGTCTTATGAAAGTGACTTTTTTCATGCATCTCTATTTTTTTTTGGTCAATGGTTAAAATAATTTTATTCAAATGTCCAAAACAATATTCCATAACCGACTTTTGTAACCGAATTGAGTGGGTTTGGCTTGTAGATCCCTACTTAATTGTTTTTCATATAATTTTTGTCATATCATAAATTATCTTTACACATATATATTATTTTCTATAATGCTCTCATTGAACACTCTCCAAGCCGCCACGTGGCAACTTCTCTCTCTTTTTTCATTTTTTTCTATCTTTTTTTTAATCGTTTAATCTTTTAACGATTATATATACATTCAATGTTGATTTTCTTCTCTGTTTTCTTAAACTTTTCCTCCATTTTTATTTTTTTTATTTTTTCTTCTTTTCGTTTTCTAATTTTTTTATACCTCTAATATTCTTTAACAGTTCATTTTTTACAATATCATTCTTTGAAATATGTGCATACTTCATATATAACTTTAATTTTTTTTTTCCTTTTTTAACTATTCTTCTTTTCCTTTTTTAACTTTTTTTTAATTTTTCTACTTTTTTGGCTTATTTTCATTTTTTTCCGTGTTTTTCTTTGACAAAATCTTTCTTTAAAATACTTTCTTTTCCTCACTTTCTTTTATTAAAATTATTCCTTTCAAATGTCTCCCTACTTAAATTTTTTAATAAAAAATTTCTATATAACCTCAATTTTTTTATATGATTTTTCAAAACATATTTTTTCTCTTGCTCTAATTAATGGACTTAACTTTTAAGGAGACTATACATTTTAATGCGGGATCAAATTTATAAAATTATTCTCCACATAGAATGTGGCTCAATATATTAGAATGGTCTCATATATAAAAGGCATTTGATTTTATCATGACTAGGAGGAAACTACTAATACCATCACTTATTATGTGTTTTAATTGCTGCCCCTGATTTTTTTTTTAATGAAAGGAAAGGAAAGAGGGAAAACAAAGTTATGAGTAAATGACTCAGTAATACAAGAATTAACCTTCAAAGGAGACTAACTCCATTAATACAATTGTTGGGAAAATTCTTTTTAATATGTATGAGCTCGCAAGTATATGAATTGTAAGAAGTAATAAAGTGACAATTTGTCAAGTATCGTCCCATAAGGATTGAGTTTTTTTACAAATTAAATTAAATACTACTACTACAATAACTTTAACTTTATCTAGGCGATCGAATACGAGTAATTCAACTAATTAAAATGATGAAATTAAAATAATAAAACAAGTAAAAATGGAATTTGGAAATAACAAGGGATCGAAGGGAACCCTGATGATAAATGAAGGCTAGGGGGTTTTGATTTCACTTAACTAGACTATGTTTATCCAACTTGATAACTTGTTGATCAATTTCATTCAAATCATTTATCCTAGGTTACCTACATCAATTTCACTCCCTCTTCCGAGTGCCGAGTAAAATAATATGCAGAACCAGCCAAATTGATATCTCTATTAACTCAATCAATTAAGCATTCATTAAGCCCAACATATTGTAGTGATTACCCAAGTTATAGGTCTCCCAAACTCAATATTACTATAGGTTGTGTTCCACACATCTAAAATCTCCAATTCATTAGGTAAACAAATTTGAATAAATATCACAGAAAAACACAAATGATTTGAGATGAAATTCAATCAACAAACAATATAATCTTCAAAACATAGTCAATATCAAGCTACATCATAACCCCCTAGCTTAAGGGTTTAGCTGGAGAAAGACAACAAAAATTCCTCAACTAAATGGATAAATGAACCAAAATCCCAATCCATCACTCAATCACAAATCCAAGAAAGTAACTCAAAATCGAAAGCTAAATAAGATAAAGAGAGAAAGAGAGAATGTAGAACTAGATGCCAGTAGATCTCCACAATCTTCAATCCCTCCTTAGTTCTTCAAGCAAGCCTTCAATTCTTAGTATTTTCTTCTATTGCGTTCTGGTTTTTCTGTTTGAAAATCATCTCCCCTCTCTGTTCCTTTCTTTTCCTTTTATATCCCTGCAAAACAGCTCATTTCTGCTCTAAAAACTAAGCAACACGTGTCTGAGCGCTGCAGCGGAGTCTTGTACGCTGCAGTGCTGCTACTATTCTCTAGAAACCCTAGCAGCACAGTCGCGGGCGCTGCAACGGGAATAATTTGCGCTGCAGCCCCTGTCCTAGTCGGCTGAGGTGCGCTGCAGCAGCTCAGGATGCATTGTGTCCTGTAACTTCCTTGCCTCTGGTTTTGGCGCTGTAGCGAGGTCAAGATGCGCTGTGGCGGTCGAAACAACGTGGTTTTTATTTTTTGTTTTTTTTTTTGCACTTTTCTTTCTCTTGAGACCAAATATTCCACTTTTGCTAAAATCTACAAAAGTGAGACAAAAACACCATAAAACACATGTGCAAGTACCAAGAACAAGCAAAATAACAAAGAATGGTACTAATAATAAATCAAGTTATCAACCATCTAATCATGCATTGTGGGTAAAACGTAACACAGGAAGCACCTTGACATACTAAGAATAGAGCACACATGACGATTTTTTAATAAGATCCTGAAAATCGAAGAAAACATATGATCAGTTATGGGTCACGACAATGTAGCACAGAGGCCACCAACTATACAACCAGATAATATATACCACAAAGAGTGAACTTTTATGGATTGTTCATTGGACACACTAAAAGTTGGAGAGACCACCTCCCTCATTACAATCAACAATCAAGGACAAACAAAATAAAAACATATCCAAATAGGCGGATAACAAAACATGTCATTATTGAAAAACCAAAAAAAAAAAAAACTAAAATGATGGGAGGTCTCGGCCTCGCGCCAAACCCAAACGAACTACAAACAATCCACCGAGCAAAGACCGGAGCAGGCAGAAGCAGAGGGCCGCAACCACAGCAAAGGAGCAAGGGTGATTCCTATGCGTACACGGCCACCAAGCCACACGAGCCCTCCATAGATCAGATGCCGCAGACGGCACAACCGCGACAAAACCCCAGCACTACAGACCCATTGAAGACTACAACGCTGGAATCAACCATGCCGCCATCATTACCGTCGAGACACCCAGTGAGATTTTGGCACCCCTACAGCACTGCCGTCAGCAATAGGTTGCTAAGCCTCTAAAGGAGCAACGCCATCAAAGGACGAAAAGCCCTACAAATGGCGGCATCATTCCCCATCCAAGTAGGCAAAACGCCACAATCACTGCTTGACTGATCCGTCGCCATCAAGGAGACCGCCGTGAGACCCGGAGAAGCAACTCTGCTTCCGCTGAGCTTTCTTTTGAAGTAAATATCACTTAATTGAATTGGTCCAACTAAGTATAATGTGTTTAAAATGAAGAAGTACTTTCTACTTTCATTTATAAAATAACATATTACTACTGCAAGTCAGTATACTACTGACTTACCACAAGCACACCAAAGTACGTATAAACTTTTGAATGTATCTGGTAACTAATTAGACTTTATTTTCGTCATTATTGATCCTCATCACATCGACGTATGATTTACCGCTGAGTTCACGTGAAAAATATCCCTTGAAGTAATCTGCAACGCCAATTCTTCTGAACAATGGTGGAGTTTGCGGAGTTATAAGGCTTGGTGCGGGACCCACTTCTCCATCTATTTTGGGGTTGTAAAATGTGGCCAATGAGAGCCGTTCCTTTCCTATGTTTACTGTAGCACGGTGCTCAATGCTACGGTATATCCCATTCGTCAGAATCTGCAATAAAATCACAACCATTTAGCCACATATATAAGAATGATACCCCTTTTAGCAATAACTACCATTTGTAGAGATATCAAAGTTCAAACCTAATATTGTAATCATGATTGGCATTTTTGTTTCAGTAAATAAATAGGAGATTTCACAGGTAGGTATTGAAAAAATAAACAACTTAAAAAATTATTTTTTCAGTCGTTAAATCTGTATAAAACTATTTATTTTACATTTTTTAGTAAATATTATTTTGAATTAAATTAGATTAAAAGGTCAGAAACAGACTTTTTCTTTTTAGAAAGATCCTATTAGAGAAAGACCTAAATAAATATTACTTGAAAACTACTTTAGGTTTTGTTGCATTCATGCATCAGTACTCCTATGCTTCCCCACGGGAATGAATCTCATTCTTCTTCATGCACTACGTAGTGGACCCGCTAGCCATATTATATGAATCATTCGCTGATTTACTTGTTTGTATCAAATTTTGATTTTTAAGCGTTTTTTACTTTATTTTTGTCTTTTTTTTTAATAGGGAGCTTTTATTGCTCTGCTTTTTCGTGTTTTTCTTTACTTTTTAAGATTACTTTGTATTTTCTCTCTTTTTTAAGTGCCTATATTTGAGTGGCGTTTTGGTGCCAGATAGCTTCCTGAATATTTTATAATTTATACATTTAAATATCCACCACGAGTGCCGGTTAATTAGTATTAAAAATACTCAGTATTACTGATGTACAATATTAAACTTTTCTATAGCAGCAAAGTGTGACCTAATAAATATCTCCTAGCCGATTCGAACACTTGTAGAAGCAATTGTTCAAGCCTTCGTTTTTGACAAAATTGCCTAATGTTGACACACACACATATACATATATACATATATATATATATGTTTTTTGAGGAAAGAGAGTTGACGTTTTCTCACATGAATATGAATATTGCACTAACCTCTAAAATGTCTCCAACGTTGACAATGAAAGCATTAGGGAGCGGTTTAACAGGAATCCACATCCCGTCCTTTCTAATCTGGAGGCCTTCGGTTTCATTGATCTGGAGGAGGATGGTGAGGCCGGTGGCATCGGAATGCGGGTTGAGGCCGATCACAAGATCCGCTTGTGGACATGGAGGGTAGTAGTTCATCCTCAAAGTCTGCCCGCCATTATCAAATAGCTCCCTCATTTCATGAGGTTCCATTTTTAGAGCCTTTGCCATTAGGTCAAGGATTGTGTTTGCGATTTTTTCTAGCTCGGCTGAGTAAGTTTCTATGGAATATCTGCAAATCAAATATAGAAAAGTATATGCAATTTGCAATTGAATCTTGGGCTTGTTCTTTTGAGTGAAAAACTCAAACAAAGGCAACTCGAGTTACAACTTTATTCGAGTTCACGTTCTTTTAAGTTTAAACTCAAGTTCAAACTCGAGTTTAGGACTAAAACTCGAGTTTAAGTTTCCCCTTCAACTTGAGTTCAGAAACTCGAACTCAAATTAATGAACAGTATTTTTTCTATTCTTAAAAATGCTATAACTTTTTCGTTTTAATTCTGATTGAGATGATTTTTTTTCTATGCGTTGACAACGAAAAGATGAATAAAACCCGACCCATATACCCTATTAAAATTCTTCATCAGCATTGAGTTTTTATTAAAATACTATCTAAATACAAATTCAAGTTTTGACTAACTCAAACACAAACTCAAAAATATTCTTATCTCAAACCATAACTCAAATGTACACAACCAAACTCAAACTCAAGTTACAAGTTCAACTCAAATTATAACTCAAATTCAACTCAAGAATTATACTCAAGTTAAACTCCAAAAAAACAAGCCCTTAATTTTAGATATCGAACTCCTTATGAAGTATGAACATAATTATGTGGAGTACCAAGTTTAATGATCATATTTATTTCTCTTTTAATCCCTAATTTGAAGGGAAAGTACCAAAAGCGACCTTGGTGGTTTTCTTTGACATGCTTTGTAAAATTTTGAATTTCCCTTTTAAAAAAACGACTTCGAATGAAAGTGTAACAATGCATACAAATTAATAGCACGCATTAATGCTTTTAAAAACCTTTTATCAAACTTATACTCTGTGGTTCACGAACCTCTATTGTTCTATAATGTCTAAGTTTTCCATTTTTTTTTTCTTTTTCTCTCAACATCATTGCCCATCACAAAATATTAGTTATTTATTTCATTTTTTTTTTTTGAAAATAAAACACAAGTGCTATACCATATGCCATCCTGTAAATAAGAAATAAAAGTTACATGTGGGATCAAACCCACAACCCCCATCCAAAGCCCTTTCCAACACCCCTCCCATGCCATTAGACCAAAGAGTTTTAGGCAAAGAGTAGATAATCAGACATTATGTTGCCAAATTGTAAATTTTTAAACAGGGAATAGCAATATGTTTCTGAACCTTAAATCTAGTCAAAATGAAACGCGTGCAAAATTAAAAGAATCGAATACATATCTAACAATTAAAAATGAAGCCCTAATCCTCATACGATGTATAAGGATAATAAAAAGGCATAGATAATAAAGGCGCGGATTACTTGTAACTAAGAGGGAGAGAGAGAGACCTGAATTGGGGATGAAATTTGGCCAATAAGTGGGGTTTCCTGAAATGTTTTGGCAGGGTGAACAAGTGGAAGGTGTCTGCCCAATCAAGTTTTTGGTCATCAGAGACAACGAAGGCTTGTCCAAAACCCTCCATGTCGCCTGGTTGTTGCCAAAACTTCTTTTTCTCTTCCATTGGGAGGTTGAACAATTCTTTAATCCCTGTCTTCACACCCTCCACCACCAAAGAACTCACTCCATGATTTATCAACTGCCACCATATGATACATATACATATATATATGTATACGTAAATATATGATCACCATCCATAAATTAAAATGTCATTAAAAAAGACTAATGATCTAGTACTCATGAATTTAGGAGTATAGCGCTAAAATTGATCACTGTTCAGAACAGAGATTATAGATACATTATACGATATATACCGGATTGAGATGTGCAAGTTGCCATTGATATCGGTTACTTCTCTCGTCATTTATTTAAAAAAAAAAAAAAAAGAAAATCATCCACAAGTATATATTATATATATGTACCTGGAAGAAGCCCCATTCCTTGGAAGCAAGATGAAGCTTTTGAAGCTCCGATTGGAGGACATCTTTTTCCAAAGAAAGTAAGTTGTTCATGTCGATAACAGGAACTTGTGGCAAAGAAGTGATATTGGGTATGAAAGTCGGGTCTTGATCACGACGCACATATCGTTCTGGGACAGCTTTCAGTGTTGTTGTCTCCTTCGCTAACTCCTGAACTGAAGGAACTGCAAGAGATCCCCCCAGCTTTGCTATTGAGGTCGCTTCGGCCATAGCTAATTAGCTTAATTAACTCCAATTTATTATCTACAGAGAAAGGAATTTTGTGAATGGCTTGGCCAAAATTCATTGACGAAAAACATGTACATTTATATATATATATATATATATATACTGTGTTTGACAACTATAGAAAGAGTAAATAATTAACTAACTAAAAATACAAAACATTTGAATAAAAATACAAAATATTGCTGGAAATACAATCTCCTATAATTATGATTTTGATGAACGTTGACTTTACTTGTTTTTAAATCTTCTTCCAATGTGATGAACGTTGACTTTCCTTATTTATAAATCTTCTTCCAATAATTTCTTCGTCACTTCTTTATTAGTGGGCGCCGTTGATATTGACCGTACCTGCTACTTGGTTTATAATATAATGATATATATGATAAATGTAAGTCATGACCGTACTACCCGGTCGAGGGTCTAAATTGTTCCACGTCATCTTTTTCTGAGCAACATACAATATTTTGTCGCATTACGTGGCACTCAAGGGGAAGATATTGATATTCTCAAAAAAAAAAAAAAAAAAAAAAAAAAAGTGGAAGATATTGGCTGAAATGGTTGGGCTGGCGCAGGTGCTAGTAGTTGAGCGGGCACGTGCCCAACTAACTAGTTATATTTTTAAAATTTTAATTTTTTTTTAATACAAATATGTTATAATATTTTAGTTTTGCTCCAACATATTTATGAAAAATTATAATTATACTTCCATTTAATTACTGATATTAATAACCATGTCCTTGTTTAATAAAATATTAACTTTATAGTGCCTCACCGACAAAATATTACAGATCCACTACAGCGATAGTTAATTTTAATTTTGTCACAATCTTCCTTAATTTTACTTGGTTAGCTCATTGCGTAAGGGAGCCAAGAGAGAGACTGTGCTTTGGAAACTGAATCTTGGTACCCAAAGGAAAAAAAAAATCAATATCTTATTTAAAGAAAAATATTGGAGTCATCAGTATTCGCCGCCGTATCATCTGGATCTATGTTACAAGGTCTAGTTTTTATTAATATGTTCGGCACAATCGTCTTGTCATTAATATTAAGGTCAAATTTCGTAATTTATCTTTCACCGTACACGTGATAACTTAGGAGACCTTTAGTTCATAGATTAGAATCATGATATTAGAATTATTTTCGATTTACGTGTATTTTTTGTGAGAGAAAACACTGTAACGAACCACGAACCATGATTCGAATCGGGGTACGAATCCCCCAACTAAACAACTCCTTAAACTTCAGTAAATCACTAAACGAGTCACTGTAATTCCCCAGACAAACTAAATCGACTCATCAGAGAGCTAACTCTACCAGTAGATCCTACGATTCAATATTCAGCTTTGGACAATAAGTAACGAGAGGATATCCTTCATATACCTAAAATAGGAATCGACAACCAAACCACCCATAAAATGAAATAAATCAGCCAGTCATGTTAGAGGAATTAAGAAGTAAAAAGGACTTAGCGCCCTTTGAGTGAGATTAATTGCTTCCCAAATAAGGAAACTAAATCTACAACAATCTTGCAATAAAGAAGATAATCAACTCGTAATGTGCAATAAACCACGTTCAACTCGTCAACGAGAAGGAGAATGATATGTAGGAGCTAGCTTTACTCCATTATGTTGTTGTTAGTCCATCGTTGTTTTGTGTTGTTTTGCTGTTATTTTCCAAAAGACTTCCTACGTCAGAGAATCTACAAAACAAAGTCAAATATCGCTGAAAAAGGAAATTAAGATCACAAATTAAAGGTCACATCGTCCAAAAAAACAGGAAACAACTTGTAGAACGTCATAAATTATAAATATAAGAAATTCAAGCATTTTCAGGCATCTATTTTTCTCACACTTATGAACTCACGCTCACTTCTAGCAAATCCCCATTATATTCTTTGTATTTTATTGCATTTTTCTTTCTCTCTCATCTCATTCTTCTCTTATTAACCCATTATAATGCTTTTCAACGTAAATAATGAAATTATTGGAGCTGATAAAGGACGTAACTCTCATAAACGAGCGAACCTCTATAAATTACTGCGCTTCTTTTATTACTTTGCTTTACCTCAAGTTTACTAACCTCTCGTTCTCATGATCAATCCTCTTATTAATAATTCAACCATTGGCTATTGATTTCATCAATCATAGATTTTACCCTCTATATGCATTTTTTAAGAGTGATTTCACTACCTTTTTGGTGTATTGATGACACAAATATTGTTGCCTTTCCTTTTATTTTATTTAAGTTTTCAAAGATGATATTTGTTGCCTTTTTGCTTGCTTGCAGCCTTTTTCTTTCTATTTATATTTTTCTTTTTCGCAGCATGTTCGCTTTTATCTTTCTTTAAAGGTATTGATAATTTGATATCCGTTTTTGCACATGGCATTTCCTAAGGTGTAAGCCCATCACTCAGGCCCATGATTTGAATGAGTTTTGTTTGTTGACTCAAGCCGTGCTCGAAGATTATCTGTTCGTCGTGGTTTTGTGTGTCATAAGGAATTATAACTCATTTTGGTACGAGACATTTCCTACACTTCAAGCTTATCATTCTATCTCATGACACAAATGGACTTCCTTCGTGTACCCAAACCATGCTTAAAGAACATTCATTGGTCGTGATTTGATGGGTACATGGGCCAACTTATCTTTGGACGAACCAATCAAGATAAATGAGTGTGAGAGAAATAAATTAAGGCCCCGTTTATTTCACCGATTCGAGTTTAGAATTTAAGTTTTGCTACAGTAAAAAGTTCTCAGAAATAATCACATTTAATTTTTTTACACATAAAATTACACTTTAACTCAAATTTAAAACTCGAATCAACGAACTAAACGGGCATTCGAGTTTAGAATTTAAGTTTTGCTACAGTAAAAAGTTCTCAGAAACAATCACATTTAATTTTTTTACACATAAAATTACACTTTAACTCAAATTTAAAACTCGAATCAACGAACTAAACGGGTGCTAAGAGACCCATCATCTTAACTTGGGTAACCCAAAGGCCCACCCACACAGCCCAATGGCTCCTTTCTTGCCTATATCAAGAGAGTTAATTCTAGAAGCTTCAATTCCTATAAAAGTCCTCACGCGTCCATGTGCTTTAGAGAGGTTGTTACACTTCACAAACTTGCTACTTAATTACAGTTTTCTTTGTAAGACGCTTCTCTTAGTCATCCTACATCCCCGTTTAATTGTAAATAATAATAGTTTTGATATGTTTAATTTTCTTGATTCACGCTTTCGGAATATATGGTTTCTCTTTTGCCGTTTGGCTTGTTTGGTCTCGGAGTTGTATAGTTGTTCAAGTTTCGATGTTCCCTTGGCTTAACCAAAGAAAATAGCCGTGGGAGTTAAGTTTGAAAGGCACAGATGTTGACTTATTAGGATTGGAGAATGAGAATAGTGTTGACGGTGTTTTTCCGACAACTCGTAATTATTTCTCTGGAAATTCTCACCGTAACACTCACGGATTAATTAGAGATTAAAACAATTAAATAATGTGAAGAAGACAAGGATTTATAGTAGTTCGGTAAGATTTCTTGGCCTAGTCTACTTGTGGATGCACTAATCTTTTCTTAGATTACAAGTTTTTCCTTCTACAACAGAATAGTGCGTAACCCTTCAATGGGTCTCTTTAGCTCTAATTATAGACCTTTACATATAATGATCTCATCTGCATTTTCTGATATTCCCTTGGCTTAAAATAGCCGTGGGGGTTAAGTTTGAAAGGCACGGATGTTGACTTATTAGGATTGGAGAATAAGAATAAGAAATTATGAAAATTAATCTCATGTTTACATGTTTTTTTTATCTTAAAATGGGAGTGAAATTGGTGGGCCGCACTCAAATATAAGATTAAGTAATGATATAATTGGCAATCCCATATCTCCTAAAACTCATATCCTAATATTAGCATGAAACTATTTTCTTATCCTAGTTTGCTTATAAAAATATAAAATTAAAAATAAAATTAAAAAACAATAATTACAGCTTATAATTACTCTAGTTTGCTAATACTAATTATCCTAATTTCCTGAAACTCTCATTCATGATATTAACATGAAATTATTATCTTACACTAGTTTGCTTATAAATATAAAATTAAAAAAATAATAATTACAACTTATATTTCTTGTTTTATTTGCTTAATATATAATATTAGCCTATTTATTGTTACATTTAATACAATAACTACGTATTTATTTGTTTATTAAAATTAATAATCTATTTTAATTTTTATCACTTTATTTTTAATTTTTATTTACATTATTCAAATTTTCACAATTTATATTTACTTTTTAAATAATTATTCAAATTATTTTTATTATTTTATCACACTATTATTATAAAAAAAATATTTTAATTATGATTAGTTTTAACATAATAAGTACACAATTTATTTTTTTAATTAAAAATATAAAATCTACTTAAAGGATATATTAATATTTTTACACATGTTCATCTTGATTCTAAGTGTAAGTAAATACATGAATGAGACTTGGAATAATTGATTTTAGATTTTGTCACTAAATAAATAACTTATTTTGACTCCAATTTCGTACTTTGAATTCTACCTATTCCGAAACATACTAACTTCAATTCATGCCCATTTTAATTACACGTAGGTAATATTCTATAAAAATCTCATATCTCCTATTATATATAAAAGGAAAGAAAACACTCGAGGGGTCCAAACCAAGAACTCCAACAAATAGAATTTTCAAGGTGTCCACAAGTCAAGTTGCACCCAATTGCACATTAATCATCTAGTAATTAATAGCAATCAAATACGTCTAACCTCTCACAATTAGAGATCATACACACACAGTGTGTGATTTAAATGATTACTCTAATATTTATCTATTAATAAGTATTATTATTTTAGCCGTACAATATTAATTCACTGTTTTAGTTAATTAGATAGTTGATCAATTGGATTGTTATTATGACGCACACTAAATTTTTAGATTTAATGGGTTCCTATTAACAATTGAAGACACGTGCGTATATATATATATACGCTTTAATGTAATTGCTTGTTACAATATATGAAAAATATATAAACAAACAAACAAGCACAATTAACATGCATTGACTATTTATACAAACAAAACCATACATATATAACACACAGAGAAATGAGTTTCATTTTTTTTTCCCTAGAACCTCAAACGACGGCACTCCCTTGGGCGACCCTGAGGGAACCGCTTAAGGTCAGTGCAATAGTTGTATATCATGTAGTACTTCTGCACCCACCTGAGCCTTCTACGGCTGTTCGGATCGAGCCCTTGAGTCTGCCAACTTGCTCGGTTCGTCGACGCTGGGGTCGATTTTGAGGCGCACGACGAGGCTGCCGATGGGACGCAGGCGTCGGCGTTGAAGTTCCGGTAGAAGGCCGTGAAAGGAGCGTTGGACCAATCGGTTTTCACTAGCCCTCCTCTTGTTGCCCATTGGTCTGCATTCCAAATGCTTGAGTAGAGCTTCATAGGCTGCTTGTTAGGGAATGGGACACCAAATCTTTCCTCGTTGGTGAATACTCTTATGGGAATGTTGTCCACTAAGAACCTGTAGCCACACAAATCCATGTTAAGATGTTGAGATAGTGACTAGGGAAAAAAAGAAAAAAAAAAACAAAAAGAAAAGAAAAAGGCCAACTTTATTTATATTTTAATATATATCTATATGTATATATATATATATATATATATGAGATACTTTTGTCTATGTTCAAATTGTTTAGCATTAGTATGTGTTGGCACCAACCTCTCATTTGGTTCAACAAATGGTTCACTTAATCAAGTTTTTTTTTTCAGAAAATATATATTTTATATTCAGTTTTTTTCTTTTTTCTTCAAATGAAATGTTTTAATGTACATAGAACTGTATATTTAGTTCTATATATGTGTATATGAAAATATATGAAACATATAACTTCGTATATTCAGTATTCTCCAATTACAGGGTATTGTCGGAGTAGCATCTTACATGATGCGTTGGGGATTCCAAACAATAGAGTAGGTGTGAAAATTCTTGGTGGGGTCAAACCAAAGGTAAAATTGTTGCTCCCTCTCCCCTTTTCCCTGCGTGTACACATTAGTGTGGACAATGTACGGCTCCCCAGTGACATTTCCCAAGAACTCAAAATCAATCTCATCACGATTTGGTCCTTGCGAAGATAGCTGCGGAAAAATAATCACAACCGCTCAATAATACTTAGCCTAAATATTAAAAAAAAATGAAGCTTAAATGGAAAAATAAAATAAAATCAAAAGTACATTATCATATAATATTAGAGCAACTCTATATCTTCTCTTTAATTATATTTTTGTTTCTTTTTATTTTTTAGATTTGAACTCTACGCTTCAAAACATAATTATTTGTAAACTTACCAATGGGCTATACTTACAACCACTACTATATTATTGTAAAAATTATTATTGGTTCACTTTCTAACTATTAAAGTCTTAAAAGAATTGATATTAGAGCAGGAGTTCAGAGCATGAGTTGATGACCTTTAATGGCTTAAAAGTTAGTGAAAAGGATAAATGAATTTAGGCCTTGTTGGAAGAGTTAAGAATTTAGGTTAAAAAATGAATTTATTTAAAGAAAAACAGTGTAGTAGAGTTAAATTTGAATTTTTATTAAAAAAATATTGTAAAAAAACTCTGAGTTATAATTTGAACTAATCAAAGAAATGACACCTACATAATAAGCCGTAACGGTGCCGGCAGAATTTCCAGGTACAAGCTTAAGCTGCATGTCAATCCTTCCAAAGAGATACTGTTTCTTAGAGATGAAGCCTGAGCCGGAGGCCTGGTCGAGTGAAAGCGTGAGAAGCCTCCCGCCGTCGAGTATTTTGGCTCGCCTAGCGCCCCACACCAAATCAAATTCCTGACCCAAATCACCCGCCAAAGCAGCCTTCAAGTTATAAGAACAAAAACCCACTAAGAAAAACACCAAAACCATTAATAATGCCATTCTCCAAAAAACCCTACTTGAACCCTGCAAGTTTCTCATCTCTACTAGCTATATCTCTTCTGATCATATGGCTGGTAATGAAGTGGTAATATTACCGTAATGTTGTAAAGACAAATACACACACACACATATATACACGATGAAAGATAAAGAAGTTATTGAAGAAACAGTGAGGAATGAGCTGTAAATGGGAAGGATATAACTCAGAAGCTTTGTCTGGAAGCTGTGTGTTGGCAGATATTATAAAGCTTTGAAACTGTTGTGTGTGTGGGTTAGACACTTGGATGTATAGTGCCCGTTCCAAGTTATATACATCACCAGAAAACTTCTACTCTTTTTTGGGTTTTGACTAAATTTCGGCACCGTATAAGGTGTGGGACCCACCGCTTTGTTTTTTTTTTTTTTTTTTTTTTTTTTTTTTTTTTTTTCAATCCATGGACCATGCATTGTAATAGGACCCTCTATTTTTGGAACTTTCTGGCCTGATTGTAATACATGTTACGAGCTTTTATTGAATCGGTTAAATAGTTTACAATTGTTTAACATGAGCGATTTGCCGAGTTTATGTTTATATTTACGTGGGGTTGTCATGTTCATACTGTCAATAAAGTCGAATAGTGATTTTTTTTTTCTTGTTGATTATTGATATATGATAGTGTATCTACTTATAATAATAGAATTATGTATGTAAGTCTATTGCGGTAACTAAAGGAGGAAAATTAATCTCTGATTAAATATTTAGAGCACCGCAATTAATAGAACGTGATCTCATTTATCAGCCTCATGCTGTGGAATGCATATTCGATTGGACGTTTGTGGTGTTAGCACCACGGGTACTCTTTAGTATTGTTCTAATCTTTGACGAGAACACTTTCTATTTTGTAGCGATATTAATTGGCGTGTCCCAAAAGAAGGGGATTAATTTAGCAGGATCTTTGGTTTTGTCCCTTAACCCATAAGAACTAAGCGCTTATCCAGCGCATATTAGAGACGCATTTGCACATAGTTTAGCTGTGCTTTCTTGGAGAAAGAATTATGATATGCTTTTAGTTTTAGGCTTAGCTTAGAAAGGAATTACAAGGCGACTTGAGAATTGGGGAAAGTGATATCGAGAAATACGAGATTACACGTGAAAATTGCAGTGTTTCTAATCAAAGGAGGCAATTCTTTTTTTTTTTTTTTTTGGTCCATTTAATTCTACATATTCGAGTATAAAGCATTCTACATGTGTACTCTTATCTTCTCCAAAATAAATAAGAACAAAAAAAAAAGAGGAAAGTTTCTTTAGTAGGACGGAAAAAATAAATTATCGGTATTTTTTTAAGGTGTTAGATTTGTATCAAAAATTATATTTTTTACGTATTTTTTTTAATCTAATGTGATTTTAACTAGATCTAATAGTTAGAAACTAGTTCTACCAGTAAGATGGCCTACTAGACAAGGTAAAAAAAACATAGATTCTGTTTGAGTGATGTGAAGCAAATATGTTTGGTGTATTTGTTAAATTGATTTTGTGAACTGCTCTGCGCTTTCTTTAATGTTCTTGATGCTCTACTTTTACTGTTCTACACTGTTGTTTATAAGGCTCTATTTGGTAAGAGAGAGAGAGAAAATCAAAAGTAAAGGAAGGTTTTCTTTCTTTTTTCTTTAATCATAAATGAGGATAATAGTGAGAAAGGGAAGGATCACTCCTATTGGGTAGATTTCGCATGTTAAAACTGGGATTGTTTGAAGACTTTTAAAACACCACTCAAATTCTCCTCTTTTCTCTCCTGCCAAAGAACTATAGATACTAAAATCCTTTTACTAATCTCCTTTCACTTTTCCCTTTTCAATCTTAGTCACTAAAACAGAAATAGTATCTGCTACAACAAAGACTATTTATATTAGGGACAAAAACTCACTAAAGTCTTGCTCGGTAACCTCTCCCTTATCTTTATATTATATATATTTAGAAACAACAAAAAAAAAAAAAAACAAAACAATTTTTGAAAGTGATGTCTAATGTGCTTAGCAATGCTTAATTCTAAAGTTTTCATTTTTATTAAAAAAAAAAAAAAAATCAGTTGAGATGTTCATTGAACTTGGCTTTCTCCTATATGGATTCTCATGAAATCAAGGTATGACTTGCCACTGAGTTTTCGAGCAAAGAACTCCTTGAAGTACTTCTCCAATGGGACTCGTCGAAAGAGTGCCGGAATCTGTGGCCCAATTATGCTCCGAGCGGGTCCCAATTCTGAGTCTAGCTTGGAACTATAAAACGTAGCAACGGATAGCCTCTCTTTTGATGAGTTCACCATTGCTCGACGCTCTTGTAGATGCCATTGCTCACAATCTGCAGGACCAAACTCTGTACTTCAGATTGAAACAAAGTTCCCAGATTTTTTTAACTTTATCCTTAGTTTCTATTCCGTACATTTGTTTACATACAATTTTAGCTCATGACCTGACATAAAAATAAAATGAAGAAAAACAAATGTGCTCTGTTGTGTTCTGTATGCTAGATTCTTGTTTATGCTATCGATCAAAATCAATTTCCAACACTTCCATCATAAGCCTATTTTTAAACAATTGATGGCTTATTATACTTGAAGTATAACACTAGTACCTCCATGATGTCTCCAATGTTGACAACAAAAGCATTCGGAAGCGGCCTAACGGGAACCCATCTTCCATCCTTCCGAATTTGCAGCCCTTCGGTTTCATTGAGCTGAAAGAGTATTGTGAGAGCATCAGCATCAGAATGTGGAGTCAATCCAATAGCCGTATCTGGCTGAGGACATGGAGGATAGTAATTCATCCTTATTGATTGAACGCCATCATCAAACACCTCTCTCATTTCCTCACCATCCATCTTCAAGGCTTTAGCCATGTGAGCCAAAATCCCCATTGCTAGCCTTTTCATTTCCATGCAATAAGCTTCCAAGGTATCTCTTCAGACAATAAAGCCCAAGTTTGAAAATAGTTTTACATAGATAATAAAGACACTCTTTTGACCAAAACTTTTACATCAAGACCCTCTAACTTTGTTAACTTTGGATGTGAAAAGACCAAAATAATAAACAATCTCAGTCGTCGATCTCCTTGTTGCATGGATCTTTGCCTTTTATAATCATTTTTTTTTTTCACTATTAGAGTGTAAGTTGTAGTTTGTGACTTGTGAGTATCCAAATATCACTCTATCATTTTTGTTGACTGAGCAATGGTAAAAATGTCGTTTTTGTCCCTATTGCATGTAGCGGTATTTTAGAAATTTAAGAAATATTTAACGGTCAAACTAAGCTTTTTCATTAGGTTTGAGTGAAAATGAGGGTTCTTAATTTCTGAAAATTCGAGGACGTTGACGTAAAATGTTTTGGTCAAGGGAGTGTCGTCATCTGAGGTAAACATATATAAGAGATCTCAGTGTAACAAGTCCCATTACTTCCTATGTAAAAATTGTTGATCATAAAGTGAGAGACAAACCTGAGATCTGTGGGGAGCTTCTCAAATAGTAGAGTCTTCCTTAGATTAAGTGGCAAGGTGGTTACATAGAACATGTCAGACCAATCTAACTTCTGATCCTCTGACACAACAAACAACTGCCCAAAACCCTCGTGGTTGTCCGGTTGCTGCCACAGCTTCTTCTTTTCCTCGTAGGGAAGTTCGAAAAAGTTCACAATCTCTGTCCTGAATTTGTCCAGAAATGAAGTACTGATCTCATGGTTTATAATCTACAATTAACACACATGACATGATTTTAAGTTTAACCGTCAAATATTCATCAAATTCTATTAAATTTTCATATTTTATTAATGTGATTTTGTATGATTGTTTTCTATATAAAGATTATGTGCTACTGATATTTATCTCTTAACCTGTTACGGAATTTTTCTTTAGAAATATGGATAACAATTTCTGACAGGTTAATAACCAATAATGAAACTTTAAAGAAAATTACTTTAGAAAAATCACGACGTAATTAGTCTGGTGGGCCTCATCTATTAATCTCATGGTCTGAGATTCACTTTTTATCTGTAGCATTGCAAAACTTCAATGGATTATGGAAGTGACTTTCGTTATTAATTTTCCCAAATGACATCATGCTTTGTTTGGAAAACAAGAAAAACTCTGACAGCACCGAGAAAACAGAAGTACTTCGTACCTGGAAGAATCCCCACTCTGCGCAAGCTGAGTGCAGTTTCTGCAGTTCAGATTCCATGGCGGAATTCTCAGCGGCCAAACGCCGGAGGTCGATGACGGGAATCGTCGAGGAATCAACGAAGACGAGTGTAGATTTCTGAAATGATTGCGAATACCGAGGTGGGATCTCGGTAAGGCCGGGCTGTTTGGCGAGCTCCTGAACACTCGGCACTATTTTGGATTTTCCGAAGTTGACTTCTGGTTTGGAGGCCATGGATATATAACGAGGTCGGAAGAAGCAAAATTAAGGAGAAAATTTGATAAAAGAGACCGGAGGAAAACAGAATTTGAGGAAATAGGTCAGTTTTTTTTTTTTATAACAAAAAAATCATGACGTGTATTTTACATGGCAAAAAATGGGTCGTATTAGTCCAAGTGTATAGGTCATTTTCAAAAACTCTCTCCTCACAAAACCGACCGCTCTACCCTCTTTTCCCCCCGAAACCGACCGCTCGACCTTCTCTCCACCCGACTGAGCTCTCTCACGACCGACCGCCGGTTTTTCTCTCCGATCGCCTCTCACTGACCGCCGGCTTTTCTCTCTGATCAGTCACCAACCTCACGACCGACCATAACCGACTGCCGGCTTTCCTCTCACTTGTTTCTCTCTTTTGCCGACGTTCTCTTACCGGCCGATCCACTCTCTCCGATCTCTCTCGTCAACCGACTGACCACACCAAACACCGACCGTTCACCAAAAACCAACCTCCCTTCCCACTAAAATCGACCAAAAACTGACCCCGACCACTCACCAAATTCCTGACCACAAAAACCGACCACCTTCTCACCAAAATCTGACTAAAAACTGGTGGCTTTTAGACTGAAATGGCATCATAAAAAAACTCTTCTTCCTCAACTAAAACGGCCATTTCCCGAACACTTGTCGACGAGGCAACGGAATCTGCTGAGGTAATATTCTTGTTTTACCTTTTCTTATATATTTTTGCAAGAACAAAAACTTAATATATGCAACATTGGTCTGTTCATAGTCGGTTCTAGGTCGGTTTTGGTTCTGGTCTGTTCGCAGTCGGTTCTAGGTCAGTTTTAAGTCGTTTCTGGTGGTTGGTTCTTAGTCGGTTCTTGTCGAGCTAGGTTGGTTCTTGTCGATTTTGGTCGGTTTTAGGTGAAGTCAGTTCTTGGTCGGTTCTAGGTCGGTTCTTGATCGGTTCAAGTTGTTTTTGGTCAGTTTTGGTCTGTTCTGTTCAGTTTTGGTCGGTTCCTGTCAATTTTTTGGGTCGGTTCGGTCGAGTTATGGTCGGTTCAGTCCATTCTTGTTTTGTTTCTTGGTCTATTCTAGTTGGTTCTGTCGTTTTGGTTGGTTCTGACTGATGTGTTTTTTCTTTTTTTTTTTTCAATATGACCTCCCAAAGTACAACATAGGTGAACTTCCTGGGATTGGACATTTAAAGATGATCATGGATCCTATGCGGCAGCATTTCCCAGTGAAAGTCACTATGAAGTCAAAGATTGAGGCTTTGGAGGTAATAAGGCAGAATCTAGACCCCGAAACGGAAATGCCAATCTTGCCTTCGGACATTTTATTTCGATGTCTGAAAATATGATCTATTTTGGAGTGTTGACACACTATCTGCTTTTGAGGTAGATAGAAACAAAAAAGAGACATGAGTTGTGGTTCATGGTTAATGGAACCACAACTAGGTTTGGAATGAGGGAATTTGCATTAATTACTGGATTGAACTGCGGGGAGACTCCAAAGCCGGACGTGGTCTTGAAAGCTTCGAAGAATATAAGATTGTTGGAGCATTTTAAGTCCCACGTAGTACTTGTTGCTGATTTAAAAAAATTGCTCACAGGGAAGAAGATAAAAGGTAGCGATAAAGCAAAGATCGCTATCATTTATTTTTTAGCACAAGTATTATTATCTGGGGACGAGAAGAAGACCGTCCCACTGGATTGGCTGTCTTACGTTGAAGATTTAGAATTCTTCAATAGCTATCCATGGGGCAGGGTGTCTTTTGAATGCACTCTGCGGGCTTTGAAGAAGAACTTGAGAGAGAAATTCCAGAAATGGGTTCGGAAAGGACGTAATAAGAGCATCAAGGAAACGTACTCAATATGCGGGTTTCTTTGGGCCTTTCAGGTATGTCATACAGTTATATGCATAATTTTTCATGGCCTTATAGTAAATAATACCATAATTGGTTTACTAGACTTAAAAAAATTGGTTTAACGCGGGTTTGGGCATTCGAAACATTTCCAACCATCGGCGCCACGTTTGTAAATATGGTTGATGGACGTCTTCCCAGAATCCTCAAATGGGAGGCACGCCGGGTTTCATTGGTCGAGGTTAGACAGATAGACGACCTCATGCAAAGTGGCGAGGTAAGGGTTTAAATACAATGTTTTTATAGGTGTAAATTTTACAAAATAG